ATTGCTGCACTCTCGCATTTTCTGCACTCGAACTGAAACAGTTATTCGACCGGACCGATTAGATGGAAAGAAAGGGCGAATAATTTGGAAAGTGACGGAAAGTTCAGCTCGAGAAACGGAAACCACGGGACTGAATGGAGCAGCCGGTTCTATTTACCTTCCGATCGCCATGTTTACTCCAATAAAGTTCTGTGGACATTTATATCGAGGAAAACACAGATTTGTCACTTGATACGTAAAAAACGAAAGAGAAGTATCTTTTCTGCGGCATCCATGGGTGTCCGATGACGAAAAGTGATGGATTATCGCTGCGACGAGCTGATTATTCATTGTCACGCGGATGAACCGATATCGTAAGTGCGGTTAACCTCTCGAGGACGTCACGGAAAAGGGACCAAGGTAATATTCACTATTGGAAATCTGCGCGAGTCTGTTTATAAGCATAATTGAAAAAAAATAACAGACACGCGTTGCAGACGGAATGGCGCCACGCAGGGAGGCGAGACCTAACCTCAATGCTGGCAGGTCTTCGAGGAGGAGTAACAAGGGCTGGCTGGAGAATTACGTGGAATGGCGGCAACTCGTCGCTTTTCTCACCGATCCGAAAAAACTATCATTGACGGTCAAATTATTCGTCGTTCTGGAAATCGTCTTGAATGCAGTAATCATCCAGACAGTACCATACACTGAAATCGATTGGAAGGCCTATATGCAAGAAGTTGAGGGTTTCCTGAATGGCACGTTGGACTACTCGAAACTGCGAGGTGACACTGGACCATTGGTTTACCCTGCTGGTTTTGTCTACATCTTTTCCAGCCTCTATTATATAACTTCTCATGGCACCAACGTAAAGATAGCGCAGTACGTCTTCGCGACACTGTACGTGATCACGCTGATGCTAGTCTTCCGGATTTATGCACGGACCAAGAAAGTGCCGCCTTACGTTCTCATCTTGATGTGCTGTACCTCCTACAGAATACACTCGATATTCGTTTTGAGACTCTTCAATGATCCAGTAGCGATGGTGCTGCTATATGCATCTATCAATTCATTCTTGGATAATCGCTGGTACTTGGGCAGCGTGTTATATAGTCTTGCTGTGTCCATCAAGATGAACATACTGCTGTTTGCTCCAGCGCTTCTTGTCACTTACTTATGCGCGCTAGGAATGTTCAAAACATTGATACATTTGTCTATTTGCGCTTTGATACAGCTGATTCTTGGTCTTCCATTCTTACTAGAGAATCCGATCGCTTATATAAAGGGCGCTTTCAATTTGGGTAGAGTCTTCGAGTTCAGGTGGACTGTAAATTGGAGGTTCTTACCTGAAGAGATATTTGTACATCCGTATTTGCACGTTTCTCTGTTACTTCTGCATGTGTTAACGCTGCTGTATTGTGCGCCCATTTGGATCAGTTACATGAAGTCGTATGTAAAGTTAAAACACATTGGAAAGGAATTGAAGCCTCAACTTCGTAAGAAAGAGAAGGTAGATATGTCTACTGTAAGTCAGTTATTTGTCTATCCTCTTTTTGTTGCGAATTTTATCGGCATTATGTTTAGCAGATCGTTGCATTATCAATTCTATATATGGTACTATCATACATTACCGTACATTGCGTGGTGCACCGACTATAAGACTATCTTTAAATTAACCATTTTAGGCGTGATAGAATTGTGCTGGAACACGTATCCGAGCACGGTGTTCAGCAGCGCGGCGTTGCATTTATGTCACATAATTTTGCTATATGGCATCCTAAAAAATAGATCGAATAATGCGAAAGAGAAATGAAGGCTGCACACATGTATGACGCATTTCTATCTTAATGTAAAGATGGAATCACACGGTACTTGATTCTTGAATGATAAGCATGCACGCATGCATGCACACATGCATGTTGCTACGCTTGCTTTGATGCATACAGTTTGACGTTTGACAGATAACTATGAAATTAGCAATTATTTCTTTTGATTGGTGCATGCAAGGAAATAAGCTATGAAGTAACCTATAATAACTATAAAAATTATGTATATGCAGCGTTCAACGCTTGAACGAATTCTAGCATATATCAGAACAGGCATGATATCAGAACTGCATGCTATCATTCAAGAAATCGAGCATCATGTGATTCCATCTTAATATATAAAGTTGAATACATATTCATATCATGTATTTTTCCATCCGATGTTACTTAATGTCCATCATCCGATATCTATGTATCTAATTGTCCATAATTAAATAGTTTGCATAATTTCTAGTCTGTATCTGTACAAACATGCGAATATGTATGTACATATACAATCACAGACTTATATAAATAGACTGACTCAATGCGATAGAAAGAGATGAATCTGATTCTGAGCTGTCCTTGTTTAGCTGTCCCATATGCGTATGTATGTATCCTGTTTGCGGAGGCGTTACAAGGTAAATCAGATACGCTCCAACGCAAAATTTGGAAGGATGCAAAATTTTAATAGATAGTGCTACTCTTATAATTATAAAGCTCTACCTTACTATATTTTAAATGAATTAACTAAAAGTAGTTTTCTGGAAATCTTCAAATTTAGCAATAGTTTTTTAATTTAGTTACAGATCTTATTAATTGTGCCAATGTCTGTGATAACTGTAGAGGTATCTTTTTAAAAATTAAAAATAATAAAGAACTTTTTGAGAAATACAATGACGCAATCGCGGTCACGCAATAATATAGCTATAATATTAATTAAAAAAGAATTGGCGAACAGTTTTGATTACGTAATCAGTCTTGATTACATAACAACTGAAGACGTCATCAGAATTTTTCAAAAAATACTAAAGCCAGAAAATATAATAGTATGTTGCATTAAGCGTCAAATACATTATTACAAAAGAAAATATGAAATTTATTGTATTCATATTCCTATGTTATACAAAATTGGTGGAATTATTTTTTTTTAGTTGTTGGTTCGTTGTCATTGGAGATTGGTGGCGGGAGATTGGTGCTTCAAAGATCTTAGCAATCCTTGTGATGGGGTGCAAAAGCAAATTCCATTGTAGGGTGCCAAAGGCGGTCGTAACGTCTCTGCCTGTTTGTGAGTATCGTGTGAATTTATTCATGTAATTTATACATGTGCGAGTAAGAGAAATATATCGCTGCCCAGCGCTGTCTTCAAAGAGGCGCAATTAGCAGTCTACTTATAAAAGTCCGTGTGTACAATATATCTTTTGTATATTAAACGGAATAAATAATGTTAAATCCGTACATTTCTATTCATCTATTTATTTATACACTGAAAAAAAAGATTAGCTGAATATGACATAACACTTAATTAGGCTACTGCAAGTCAATTAAAAATGCTATGCTATTTTACCATTTAAATTTCCTTTCTAAGATGAGTGTGAAGATAATTTTAGCTAATTTGAAAAGACGATCATGTTTACCTAATAAATTATAGCTTGACCGAACTACAGCATATAGAAATAAATTTGTTATAGTTTTATTTCTATATTTGCAATAAAAAACTGCATACTTGTAAGGTATCTCCCTATTTATGCAAAATAATACCTAAAAATATTGCTTAATTCGCAAACATAAAATATCAGATATAAATATATCAGATATAAATATATCCGAGATAATCTTCGCAGATTAATATCAATATTCATTTGTAAAATATAAAGCATTGTAATAATTGTGTAAATGACAGTCTGAAGTTTGATAAAAAATTGTCAATAAGCGTGTTAATTAAATATTTAAATATTTCTACATCTATCTAAAATCTATGATTACATGTTGTTCAAACGCGCAAATGAAATATTGTTTTTCAAACGCGTTTATGTCTTTACGTATATTCATAATAAAAATACATTGAATATCATGTCATTTATGTTTTTTCTTATTTTATTATAGTGCTGAACGTACTAATGAATATACTTTGCAAGTAAAATTAAAAAAAAACATAATGCGAACATTTTTTTAGTATCTTATATTACGATAAAATTTAACATTTTCATATCGTTTTAATTTATAATTACAGCGAGTATTTATTTCGTAACGAGTTTTAATGTAATGAACGATAATTGCTATGCTGTATAAGTCAATGTATATCATACAGGAAATGTAAAAAAAAAACGAAAATGGAGTGATGATCAATGGATAATATGTAATACTTACAGTGCTTACACAATTATTATCTACGAACAAGTTCTACTGATATAAATCCTTATATTATGATTGGGTTATTTGTATCCTACGCATTTCTTGTCTTTAAAATATTAGAAGCACTAAGTAATTATAAATTATAACATTTATGTACAATTTTTTTAATACGCAACCTTACATATATTTTATAAAAATGTTAAATTATATATAAAAAGTAAAAATTAATAATTTAATAATTTTGATATAGGTTATATATATAAATTTGCAATATCTGTGTCCGGACAATTAGTTTCGTGATTGTACATAGCAATCAAATCATATATAATTAAAGGTATGCATCAGGAAATTAATTCTTTTTTCTTTTATTCAAAATGTGAAAATAATAGGCGAAAAGATGAACAAAAAATTCAGCTGACAAACTTAGAATTAACATTATAAATGTGCGGTAAAAGAAACTTGCAAAACATGTTCCGGAAATTACAAATTTAAATTCAAGGCAACTCATTTATTAATATTTATTAAACTCAATAGAAAATTCTGATCAATTATTTCATCAGGAACATGAGTATCGTTTTTTGATACATGTACATAAAACTATTTCATTGTACGAGAAAACGAAAATGATATTATTCAAAACAGCACGAAGTTTTTCTAAATATAACATCTATGTGTTTTTTTTTTTAAAAAGGGAGTGTATCACGGCCGTCGATATATCGCATGGACGATCAAAGAAATCGTGTGAAGTTTGCAGAAGGAGGCCGCGAGTTTTGCGGCGAAGTGTGTCAAAGAGAGAATCGTCAATTCTCATCGGTCACCCCACCGCTGTTTTCGTTCAGACGGTGAACCTTTTGCTCGGCCACGTGGAGATACCGCTACCTTTCCGTCGTGGAGGCAAAACATCGAATCAGTGGGAATACTGGTCAGCTCTGCCTCGGCCCTGACATTGCATGCACAGTGCGTATCAATGTGTACGTGCGTACGCGCGCGCGCGTAAGCGTCGCTGATAGCCCCCTAATTCCGACTATTCCGAGTAAAGCATTGATCGCGACCGCGCTTTCGCAAGCGGTAAGCGGAACGCAGTATAACGCCGGCAGTCATCAAGGTAGAGACTACGAGACAGGAAGCTCATCGAAGTCGTTGCCCTTCTGACTTAAATATAATCTTGGTTGATATTTTCGTCTCTAATCAATTTGATCCGCTTTCAGCATCGTGCTCACCGATTCAGTCGACCTTGTCCTTCGTTCCTTTCATTCGAGATGTTGTATGCATTTAAGACGTGATTAAATACGATCGTCGTTATCGAACAGTCGTCGAGCGCACGTTTGTTGACATTTCCCCTGAGACGAGAATATAGCTGTCGCATCCCCGGTGAGGAACGGAGTTCGTCATTCGTCGCTGGATGATCGGGAGATCCGGAAGAAGAGTCAGTTGCTGGTAAAGGTCGAGTTCAGGTGAGAAAGTGAGAAAGTATCGTGGTATGATCGCCTCGCGCATTGAAGTATAAAACGTCGGAGAAAGCTGTATCGCGATGAAATTCTATGCAGTTTACGATCTGACGGATCTGCCCGGTCAGAATTAATTACTTTCTTTTTTTAAGTCGTGCCGGACGAAAATAAAATTAGCTATATGTAGAAATGATAAAGCAGTAATTTTAATTCATTTGAAGACTTTTGATTAATGTATTGGATTCTTTTATAGAACATTAATACTGAAAGATATTAATTAATTACTTAATAAGTACATAACACGCAACGTAACACACTATATATCTATTTTATAATTTCAATTTTCGTTCATCTGTCTGATTATCTATTTGAAAAATTTCTCGAAAATGGTTTATGCCCGTTTTTTTCAATATAGATTAAGTTTAATCTTGATTTAACTTACTTTTTATTTTTTTAATTCTAAAAATTAACAAAAAGTAAACGAAATTGAGATTGAAGTTAATCGATTAATCTTGGTTTAATTTACTCTTTATCTTTTTCTAGTTCTAAAATTAGGAAAGGATAAAGATTAATCGATGTTAAAGTTAATCTACATTGATTAATTTTGATTTAACTTACTCTTTTTTTTATTTCTAAGAATTAGAAAAGGATAAAAAGTAAATTAAACCGAGGTTAATCTATATTGAAATGGACTGTTTCCATTCTGTTTTCGGAAGTACTTAAGAATCTTATTTCCCTTGATATTGGATCATTTAAAAAGTATCCGCGGTTTTTTCATTCAAAAATTGAACAAAAAACGCGGATACTTTTTAAATGATCTAATATATGAATCAAATCAGTTGATTATAAAAGATAAAAGTCGACGAGATTTTCAGTACAGAGCAAATTAAACGACTTAACTTTTTCAAATTCTGTATTTTGCTGTATTACATTATTACATCTGTTACAATGGTTTATTTCGAATATCATTGTTTAGTACTTTTAGTACTTAAAATGAATAATTAATCATTATCTTTTAGTATTAAATTGGATAGTACTGAATTTCTATAAGATTTATGTTAAAAATATACTGATAAATTTATGTTAAAAATATACTGATACATATTTATAGTTCTCTGTCACAAACTTGAAAATATAAAGAGGCAAATTTTTTTTTCCTTAAACATACATTATCTAAAGTAACGTATTAAATATTATTACTATATACGTGATACGAAATCTACAATACGACTTATACGACAATAGGACTTTGCTCCATATGCAAAGCTTTGATTTTTTTTCTTTAACGACGATCGCAACGAATACTGATTGGATTGCCAATGATCATACGATGAATAAATATTGTATGTTAATGTTTGCATTGCGTATATGAAAACGAAATACGTTTTTACGTTTGTGCTTATCATTCTGTATTTCAAAAGCATCTGCGCGTCTCTATATAATAGGTATGTACGTGAAAGATAAGCATGCACTTAGAAAAATAAAAACGTAACAAATAAAAAAGAAGCACTAAACACTCGTTTTACATAAATGTCGATTTTTACAGATAATTAATATTTATAGGACAATTGATCACGTGATGTATTTTTTTCATAAATAAGACTTGTGAAATATATCATTTATATAAGAGCTTATCTCTCTCGCCTGACAGGAAATATATTACGTAAGATAATGAAATCTAAGCAGAAAAATATAGATAAAGATTAATATGATTTAAGATAATGTGTACATATATATATATA